TGTGTTTGTTATTATTGCATTTCTGTGCTTGAAGTTTGTAAAGTCCTCTGAGACGACTGCTGTTGTGATGTAGGGCTAAACACAAAGACATTGAATTTGAAAATAGAACAGTTTCAAATTCTTTAAATGTGGAGAGAAAATGTGACTGCACCAAAACACTCAAAGATACAGCCGATATCATCACTTTAGTTTCATCTTTCTTAATGTGCACTCTGTATTGGCACGGTCTCCCACAGCTCTGTGGTTGTTGGCGCAGAGGCTTAACTTAAGCTTTCTCGAGGTTTCTCTTGAAAGCTCCATTTCCAGGTATCAGTGATCTGTAATGCGAAGCCTTAAAGGGCAGAAATATCAGCACAAACAACATTCCTGCATCAGACGACAGCATCTGTTTGTGATCTGGCTCTGGACCGTGGCTCTGCTCAGTGTCAGAGCGAAGGGCCCTAATGGAGCGCTTCCTCTGCTGTCAGACGGAGCTGCGCAGGACAACTCTATAGAGACAAATGCCATTGGAACTAATGCTGCATCAGGCACAGGACAGGACATAGAATCACAATCATCTTTATTACCAAACCAATCAGAAGTCACAAACAAGGAATTTAAAAGTGATAAGAAATTATCTTAAAAAAGTTGATTAAAAAACATGCATCAAAGAATCCTCTGAAGCTTCTTGTATATAAATACACACAACAGACATTAATGGTGCTAGTCGTGCCCAGAGGAATGACATTATAAACAGACAGAAGTGGAAAAGAACATAACACATATTTTATATTGGACTGAAATAAATGTTCTATCCATAGGAAATGTTATTAAAGTCCTCAGTTAAAAATAAATCCATTGAAAAAACAGAGGGAAAGAAGATATGACTTTTGTTGACATTATCTTTTGGAACTGTCCAACAGGATGGTGCTAAAGAGAGGACCACCAACGTGTGGAACAGCCCTGTGGACAAACTGCGATCAATATTTGTCCAAGAGTTCATTGGCAGTATATTTGAAAGGATTTTTTCAAGAAGGGGTGAAAGGTTTTTGTATGGCACTTGAATAGAAAAACTACTTGATAAAGGGCAAATTGCAAGCCTTTCAAATATTCTTGATATGGCGCTTTTCTGCTTTTTGCAAATTAACCATTCATGTATTAAAGTCTTATTCTTGTATTTTACCATAATAAACCATAATAAACTAGGTTCTCTGTACTGTTTGAAGAAAATGCCAATCTCAGTTTCTGATGTACATGTTTTGGACGATGGGGTAAAAGCTGTCCTTCTTCAGCTTTAACTCCTTCTTCAGCTTTAACTCCTCTTGCTGTTACTACCACATTGTTACGATTGTTGATTTTAATGGATGTGTCGATAATTGCGACCTACCAAAGTTACGATTTTGTTGCTTTTGGGCACAACCCAACCATGTAGTCTTGTGAAGAGAGGTTTTGGACTGTGAACTGTAAAATCATCCCCCTGTGCCATTTTCAATCACAAATGTACGTTTCATCCGCCCGCACAGACATGTTACACCTCATTGTAAAGCTCTTTTCAGTTCTGTCATTGACTTTGACTAAACCAACATGTATTCGTGATCATGGCACACACATATGACTCTCATGTAGATAATCAAATGTGAATCATTGTGGACATGTCGTACCTCTTTTAAAAAACAGGAAGTCACAAACTCGGAATTTGCTTTGGCTCCTGATGCAAACATGTTATAGATAGATAGGCTTGCATATAAAATCTTCATCAAAAAATATAATGAAAAAGTATAACTAAAGTTGCTTTCTTCATAAAACGATAATTTACAGTTACCAGTACAGTGATTTTTTTGCATTGTAAGTGTTTAATAGTTTCTGCAATGTGACTCCTCATTACGGATGTAAACAAAGAAATAGCATATGAAGGAATTAATGCACCTTTTACATTTTCATTCTAATCTCTAAATCACCGGAGAATAAATCGAAACAGAATCTTCAGCAACTGGAACTGAAACCCAACAGAAACAAAAAGTGAAGTGCCTGGCCATGACTTTGCTCCAACACTGACTGAAACTCCTGTAATAAATGTCTGTCATAGAACATGACGGTAACTGAAGAAACCTCCTCTGATGTCCTGGATTAGATTGCGCAGGAAGTGCAAGGATCTAAAACAAAATTGAAGAGTTAAAATAGGTCAGTGTCTTTGTAGCAATAACTCAGGACGTAACTTTAAACTCATATTTGTAAAAGGTTTTCTCCACAGTGCAGCAGACGGGACCTGTGCATAAAGGATTTTAGTTGTTGGAAAAGAAGCAACAGGAGGAAAACCTGCATTTCCTTTGTATGTATATAGTGTGGATTTCTTGCAGACATGTTCTGGAATATTTTTTGATCTGCATTGTTTCATTCTGCAGAGTTTTGTAGATGCTCAAGTTAACAAAATAATGTTTACGGCTTTTTAAGTTCTTCTAATAAGACAATTAAAGCAAAAAAAGCTAGTACTGCTTAAATACCTGACATGTTTCGGCGGTACACTTCCGCCTTCATCAGAGGTGACACGTGATGGTGTGACGCGTCTGACAGATCTCACAGATCCATCAGACTGACCACGTCTCCCGCCGCGCTGTGGTCTCTGGAGAAGTGAATCCCAAGTGTGAGCCAAGGTGAAGGCCCCCTCGTCTCTGTTGATGGTCCGTGTTCCCCTCTGCCGTTTTCGCTGCCGAAAGAAACGGCAGCGCGACTAACAAGAGCAACCAAGGAAAAGGCAACACAGGAAAACCTCAAATCAGCAATATCAGACCACTGCAAAAGAGAGAATCACATCATGGACTGGGACAATGCAAAAATAGTTGGAACAGAAGAACATAAATACAAAAGATGGATACGAGAGGCGATCGAAATCAGGAAGCGGCGAACACGGACCATCAACAGAGACGAGGGGGCCTTCACCTTGGCTCACACTTGGGATTCACTTCTCCAGAGACCACAGCGCGGCGGGGGACGTGGTCAGTCTGATGGATCTGTGAGATCTGTCAGACTGACTGCTTCCGGCAACAACAGTTGATAAGAGACGCGTCACACCATCACGTGTCACCTCTGATGAAGGCGGAAGTGTACCGCCGAAACATGTCAGGTATTTAAGCAGTACTAGCTTTTTTTGCTTTAATTGTCTTATTAGAAGAACTTAAAAAGCCGTAAACATAAGAAGACAGAATGAATTTTCCACATTTAAAATAATGATTGTTATCTGCGGACCGGTCCCCTCCTGCCCAGACTTGCACCCCCCATCCGCACAGCCTCAGTCGTCGTTCTACAGCCTGTCCTTGCTGAGTCCACAGGAGCCTTGATCTCTCAGCGGGGGATTCAAAGTGGAGCCCCCGCTTCCACTTTGTGTCTTGCACATGGACACAAGTGTCTTGCCCAAGGACATAACGACAGAAGACATGGGAGTCATGAAGTAGGTCTTTTAGTGGGCTCGAACCCACAACTTTCCGGCCCAAAGGCCAATGCTCTACCACCTGAGCCACTGTCGCCCACATATGTTAAGTTAGATTTATTTTTTATTTTTATCTATCAATCTTCAATTAAATCTCTTTTCTCCAAATTCATTTCAAATCAGATTAATCTGTCAAAATACAAAATTATGTAATGGTAATAAAAGTAATCCACTTTTATACTTTTGGCCCCAACCAGATCTTATTTTATTAAACTTGGCGCCGACCAAAACAAGTTTGACAGCCCTGGATTAGATTATAACAGTCTAAGAATAACTTTGTCAAGGTTGTTCTTCTACGTCATTTTCACACTCATGGTCGAATCAATCTCTTTAGTTATTGTCTTTGCCATTAGAATCCAGAATATTAGGATTCCAAACGTGGCGTGCCAAATTTCATTGAGGAGGTCGCTCCGTTTGTCTCCGGGGAGAGCTCTGATCTGCCTCACAGATGTGCAGCAGTGGCACCGGCTGCTTTTGCACGAGCCTCTCGGAGCCAGACCAAGACACAAGTGAACTCTGGCGCACTTTGGGCTGATTACGTTTTGTCCATGAAGATGTGAAAATAGCACACACGTGCAGCTGGTTCATCGGTCGCCTCAGTTTCGTAACTTGCTCGCTTTGAACCAGTGAGGTCTGAAGTGAACCTGTTGATCAATGAGTGTGAACGCAACCGAAGACCAGGACCAGGAATAGACACGGATCCAAACCAGTTTTCAGATACTAATGCAAAGACAAGGCTGTATTCACTCGCTGTTGTCCTGAAGTCTAGTCCCAGTTTAATATGGGTTTAGTCTAGTCCCAGTTTAATCTGGGTTTAGTCTAGTCCTAGATTAGTTTGGGTTTAGTCTAGTCTTAGTTTAGTCAGGGTTTGGTCTAGTTCTAGTTTAGTCTGGGTTTAGTCTAGTTCTAGCTTAGTTTGGGTCTAGTCTAGGCGTAGCTTGGGTTTATGGCCTGTTTAGTTCCATTTATATGAATGTGTGGTAAGTTAAGAGCTTTTAATCAGTTATTACGAACACAATCCCCCTTTTCTTTTGTCTGATATACATGATTTTTATTAGTACAATACATGAGAAACAATATTCACATTTATGTTGTTTTCTAAATATGACATTGATAGTTCAGACTCACAGGAATAACTCATGAACTGAAACTATGAAAATGGTCATATATATGATTAAGGTATATTAAGATTAGATTAAGGTTATGTAATTGATGCTGCTCCAAAAAATGTTTTAGATTGCATACATTTATTTATTATTGATTGTTTACATTTATACATATGAATATAAAACCTTCAAATCAGCTGGACTTTCATTTGAACTGCATCATCCAATCCAATCGTCAGCAACTTTTTACTATCTGAAAGACTTTGCCAGAATCATAAATATAGTCTCTAAAGCAGACTTGTAGATTCAGCATTTGTCTCTCGCAGGTTAGACTCCTGTATCGACCTGCTCACTGGTCTCTCCAAACGGGCTGTAAATAAGTTGCAGTAAATTCAAAACTGATCTTTTCCATGTCCTGTCTGTGTTTGCAGGTATTCTGGAGATACGGACCGTCTCAGAGGGAGGCATCCTGGCCATCAAGGGAGTCAAGAGTCAATTATATATCTGTATGAACAAGGCTGGACAGTTACAAGCCAAGGTGAAGTCTCCACACCCAAGAACTCTATTTAAGAATGATAACACATGTACATTGTGTCTGATGGTGATGAGAATGTACCAACAAGGCTGAGCAACTGCAAGCCAAGGTCAAGTTTTTGGTACCTGGGCTAGAATTATTCTGTTAATTGTTACTCTATTCTATTCTATTCTATTCTACTCTCTTCCACTGAGCTGAGGTGTTGTAATTTCCAGTGATTGGCCAGAGTGCTGCTGGAAGTCGCGATTATTTTTGACAAATTATGAATTCACTTGCAACAGAGGCCTCAGGAGCCTATCTTAATGCAATGATTGTTCTTCATTGTATGACAAGTTGGTCGCAAGCTAATAAATCTGTCCTGAGGCCACTTCAGTCACTACATTAAAGCTCACTAACAATCCATGATAAAGAGCAGACGTTTCCATCATACCTTTAAAAGACCCTTCATGACCCCGCTGCTCCTCCACTGAAAGAGTTAATCTCTTTGGGCTCCAACCCAACAACACGAGCCTCTAGATCTACCGAGAATTTCCCCAGAAGCTGATTTGTTGTGGAGTGTAGGGCCAAGTAGGACGGGGATTTGGAGATGATTGATTAAAATACTTATATTTTATTTATTTTTAGCCATAAAATCTCTTCTCATCACGTCTATGTAAGGTTTGATTAGTGGCGATTCATCAATGAACTTGTTCGAGTTTTAGTGAACAAGTTCATTAAGTTGGATAATGTTGCGATGTTCAAATTAGTTCAATGTCTTTTCAATTTATAAATCCCTACAGTAGTTACATGTATCTTGGAGGATTTTCAAAGTTGTTGATTCGCCATCACAGATCATAAAATAAAAAAACAAAAAAAGCAATGATAAAAAACTAGGGTTGTCAAACGATAAAAAATGTTTTAGTTGATTAATCCCACAGTAATGGTGAGTTAACTCACGATGAATCACATTTTTAACATTCTATTTCAAATCCACTCCAATGGAAGTTAAATGAGATTATCAAATGTAATGACACATTGTCATTTTTACCAAAACCCAATCTGTTTGATATGCTCACAACCTTTCACTTTTGGGTACAACCAACATGAGCTGTTAATGAAAAGGGAAAATGTACGTACCCCAGCTTTAATTTAGCGAGTTTAGTTTAGTTTCAGGAGGAGACACGGACACTTCCTGAGGCTCCATAGTTCAGCTTCAGTGGTGTATTTGCGTGCACAGGTTACGCAAAGACACGCACACAACATGCAGAGAATAGTTCTGTTTGTGTTCTTGGATATGACCACGTTACCACGGCGCCATTCACCGTGTTGTTGTTAGCAGCTCACAGCCGCTGGAGGTGGGAACCACTGTCCAGAACGGCCGCCGCTGCGGCCACGGAGGAGGCAGACTTCAGTTCATAGCAAACAACAGCAAGTGCCGCGTATTCTTTTAAAACTTGAATTCCCAGAGGGCCTTACCTGCTCTGTTGCCATCTCATACACGCATGTGTCCGCAGCATTCTGAGTGTTATTATGGGATGCATGGGCGGGTCATTCGGACATGCGTCAATTGGTCCGTAGATGTCACCGCCAAGGAACAACTCAACAAACCCAGTGGGAAAAAGTGAGAAACCGAAACCTTGGGGAGGCCCACATTAAGTGAGGGATCCCCTCCCATGGATGGACAGGCCATAGATCCAGGACTCAGACTGTAGAACGAGGAATGAAGTTGTGCCGTGCAGGAATGAGGCGGCATCCAGACCCATGAGTCCAGGCCGCAAGAGACCCGTCCACAGGTGCAGATGAAAGAGGCCAGATTCAGGGGTCTCATCATCACGCCATGAAACAAACAATGGGACAGCAGATGAATAGCAATGAACAGACTAAAGTCAGAAGTCATGAAGTCATGATGACAAAAAGTCCTCACCATGACAAAAAGTCCTCACCATGACAAAAGCCACGTTTACAAAAGTAGTATAATGTTTTTAATCCAATGATTCTGGTTCCACAATGTAATCTATACACAACTTTACAGATTCACAAGTGAAAGTTTCAGTGTATCATCATATTCTGATTCTTACACAGAAACATAACAGTGCACTTCCCCCCCTCTGTGTGCCACTTAAACATGTCTGCATTTATCTGACCCCGAAAACTCAATATGGTTAAAACTTAAACAAGGCCAAAAGCCCATGTTTTCCCCCTGGGGATTTTTCACTTTGACTTTTGATCCCAGGGGGCTTCTGTAGTTTGTCATTCAAGCTGAAAAACCAAACCACATGGCATTTGTCAAACTAATTAAATGTGGCCTCAACACCTAAAACTATGCAGATACGATTGGTGTCAAGAAGTGTTTTTGAAGAAATCAGCCAAAATCACTGAAATGTAGCAAAAATCGAAAACGTAAAAATAAAATTATTATTGCGAATTAAAACATGAAATTGTGTTGACCATGTACAGCCCCCCGCCTTATTGATCTAAGGGGCTGATTATGAAGTCTTGTGAAACGACTGAAATCAGAGATTTGACCGATTTTTAAACAATCATTCGAAATGACATTGCTTGAAAACCAAAATTCTATGGCAGTTAAAGTTGAAGTTCCTTTGAAACGTTGGAGGGTCTTGTCTCTCAGCTGGTCTGGGAATGGCTCAGGATTCCCTCAGATGAGCAGGAGGAGTTGTGTGAATAGGGACTGGCTTAAATCAATGTTAAAGTAAAAAACATGTGAATTGTTATTGGGGAGTCTTGAGACGTTTGTCAGAAAAAGGAGAAGCTGCGCTGTAGATTCTGAGAACAGCTGGTTTAAAGTGTTATTGCACAAGTGCAAATTTTCTCTCCATCGAGAGATTTAAAAAGAATTTGACTAATGACTATAAAACAACTTACTCTGCCAATAAAATGGAACAAAACAACTTTCCATCAGTATAGTATCATACAAGATAATGATACTGCAATTCTAACAAAAGGGGGTTGTTAGAATTGTATTTATTGTTTTTATTTTAATAAATAGTACATAAAACTCTGCAGACATTATATACAAGAATGACATTTATTGCATGCTGTGGCTCTAACAGGGAATTTACACAGTAGGCGTTAACAGCTCGTACGCGTTGACTGCGCGTTCTCTGCGCGTAACATTATTTGAGGGCATCTACACTGGCCGTGCACGCAGGTCTACGGCTTCTGATGCTCTCCCTGTGTAGTCTATGAAGAAGTGTAGAGGACAGTACGGGCCAGAGGACTGTAGAGCAACACAAATCACATTCATGTGTTTGTCTTCATGGTCTCTGTGCGCTGGTTTGGCCAGACGTGAGACTTTATGAAAGAAAAAAACCGATGTCCAGAATCACTGTAAAACCTGCTGCTCCTCCTGCTGATGTTTAGATACAAGTGCTGTGTATCCAAAGCCAAGGGTCACTATAAAAATCATGTTTTACATGTGTTTTCAATGGGAGACGCGTTGCTGCGCGCACAAAATTAGAACTCCATCCTAAATTAGGCGCAGCCTTGCGTCAATACGTTCGTCATACGCGCGTATAACACTAGTAGTGTAAATATCCCCATTGGTTAACATGGAAAAATGTTACGCGCGTCTGCTGCGCGGATAACGCGTATAACGCGTATAACGCGTATAACGCGTATAACGCGTATATGCTGTAACGCCTCCTGTGTAAATTAGCAGTTAGACTAAGATAAGTTCAAAGAGCTGTCTGGCTGATGAGGCGGTGATGGGGAGGAGGAGGGTTGCTGCACAAATGAAAGATTTCTGCAGGATATGAAAGTAGAAGGCAGCAAACTCCTAAATATTGTTTTGCTAGTGACCCCCATGTGGTTGCCATGACAATGCATGTGGTTTCAGCACTTTCATCTTTACAACAAAAAAACATGTTTTTTTTAGCCCTTGAGACCAAACAGGACCGAGTTGGAAGCGATTCCTATCAACGTTTTATGGCCAGAGTTTTATGATAACATGAAATAATAGTGAAAAATGGTTGCCAAACATATTACATATGTATGTTTCTATGTTTGTACAGTATGTACAGTATGTATGTATAACTGAATGTTCATTTGCACAGTATGTTTATAACTGCATATATCAAGTCAGCCAATATGTATGTATTTAGCTTCCTTTTAGAATACTTACTAGTATTCTAGTCCCAATGTTGTTCTTTGCCAATGCAAGAGCGTCTAGGACTGTGGGGATTTGGGACATGTACTGGACGTTTATTAACGTCCTGCTCCCTATGGACCAATGGCTGCAGTGTCTTTGTTATTATTTTGTACTTTTCCTGTGTTTAAAATGTTTGATTCTCTGATTTGTTAAGTTGAAGTGAAAACTTTGTAAAGTGATTTGAGATCCTTGTAGCTCTAATTTGTATAAAAATACCTTTAATTGAAAATTTGAATGCCAAATAGTTGACTAACAGCTCATGTGTTTTCTTCTCACACAGAGACTCTACACTGATACCTGCAACTTCAAGGAGGTGTTCTTAGAAAACTACTTCAATGCATATTCCTCCATGAAGTGGACTAAAAACGGGAAGCAGATGTTCATTGCCCTGTCTCAGAAGGGACGTCCCGTGAGAGGGAAGAAGACACGGAGGGAGCATGTCGCCTCGCATTTCATCCCAATGCAGTGCCGTGAGGAAGAGAGGCGAATAGACTGAAAACTATCAATTATCATCACCACTATTTGTACAGCCATATTGTAATGTTAAAAAGGGACGTAATGTATTTGATCTGGTTTTACAAGCCTAATCTTTGTTATAGTTCATAGCTGTTGTGTCTTCCCATATATATATAACAGTAAACTTGTGTTCATGGACTGTTTTTAGTGACGCACCAGTCATTGTCTGAAATGAAGCTATATCAAGCGGGACTTGACGTTCACAAATTGCTTAGAGCCACAGATGGAGTGAAACGAGTGAAGACAATCGCACATGAATGAGATTCTTTTACTATAATGTAACATACCAGACTCAAAAGCCGACGTTGGACTGCAAGTACACACCGTTTTACTGTAGTTAAAGAAAACTATGAAGAAAAGGCTCTGCAAAAGTTATAATCTGCCTCTTTCACCAAGGGTTTGTGTAGGTTTCTCCCATCAAATTATTTTTGTATAGCTCTAAATCAGAGCAGCAGCCATTGGTCCATAGGAAGCGGGATGACCACTGTCCATAAATGTTATTAAATGTCCTTAACTGTCCTGGATCATCACTGTCCTTAGACCCCCTGCATCTGCATCTGCCCAGTGGGAAAAAAGGCAGAAACCTTGGGGAGAGAGGGATCCGCTCCCACAGTTGGACAGGCTAAAGATCCAGGATTCAGGCTGTAGAACAGAAACAGAGGACACATTTCCCTAAAGAAAAAGAATAATTCAATTTAACGGATGAATAATCTCTTGATCTTAATTTATCCAGGAATTATTTTCAAGTCCAAGAGAAATGGCGACAGTCGCTAGATTCATCCCGCTTTGAGAGATATCATTCCTGGACGAATGATTTGTCTCTAGAAACATGAATGAATTGTACAGAGATTGTTGAGGCAGAGGGCGGGAGGCTGCAACCGTAATGACCTATAGTGTCCAGCAGGGGGTCTGAATAGTCCTCAAAGACCTCTGCTTCCGGTGTTTATGTCGCAGCGACACGTTTCTCAAATTGTACATTAGAGTTTGCAGTCTGACTCGGCCTTGTGCTGCTCCTGGTGTGATGCCAAAAACCTGAAATATATTGCTGCTGCTAAAACTTCATGAAATAATAATAATGTTCACTTATTGTACGCAACATCTAATCAGTTAATATGTATATGTAAATCTGTTTTCATAAATACATTTGAGAAACAGTTCATCCATGTATATTCCATTAAGCTCTGCATGTGATGCTAAACACAATACTGACAAAGCATTATCTAAATTTACTGTAAATTATTGGTTTTATTTATATAAAAAATGTATATATATATATTCATTTTGAGTGTGTCTGATCTCTTTTGTGTCTTGTTTTGGGGTTTGTGGGTAGAGCTTATTTGTATAGCACAGTCACAAGTCAGTTCAAAGTGCTAAACAAAACAAGAAACAAACATCATCCGGGTGGATCTTCTAAACTCTTGGTCTCTAATTGTCCTAATCCTTCTGGTGAATAAAATGTGCAAGACACATTTTAATAGACCTCTCAGGAGGGAGGTTCTTTCCTAAAATTCAGGAAAACACTCACATATACCTCACAATACATTAAAAAGAGTGAAGACTGTGAACTGTTTTGGACCTGGATTTGAACATTGTCCAAGTCTCACGTTTTCAGGAAGACACTGCCTCCCCATCTTTAGTCCTGACTAATAAAAAGGCACTGGTTTTACCCGTCTGTGCGTACCTTTCCTGATTGGACAAAATGATTTCATATTCTTGACAAGTAACCACCCTACGCTCCTCAATCTTGCTGCTTGAGTTCAGGGGTGTCCAAGCTGTTTAGTACGACTTTAAGCCAGACTGTTTCTTGCTGTTCACCCGCTGTCCCAGTGTCTGTTTCATGGCTCAATGATGCAACCCCTGAATCTGGATTCTTTCATCTGCACCTGTCGACTGGTCTCCGCCGGCTCGGACTTGTGGCTGGATTCTAGAGCTTTCCACCGAGATATAGTATACATACAGTTAATTGGCAGAGCTGAAGTTGGCTGGATGTCACTGTGAACTTGTGTCTATGCTCTCAAAGACAACTCTGTGTTAGTAAGGCAGAGGGCCACATAACATGACAGAGAGATGACTGGTTTAGGAGAGGAACTCAATGAAATATGTATGTATTTACATTAGAGTACAAGGCCAGGTGGTCAACAATAAATATGCTTTTACTCTATCACTAAAGGCGGGACCAACCCCCCAGACAGAAAAGCGATAAAGAGAGCCACAATGAGGCAATCAGCTCCCGGCACACAAAATATAAAGCCACTGTTACAAGACCCCCTCTGCTGGGACAAACAGAGAGTTAGACAGCCCAGGTGTAATATAGTTATTAATATATATGTTTTTTTCCAATATCACCTTCTCCTAATTACAATGCAGTGTTTCTGACATCCACGACCTTCATTTACAACTTCAGGCAGTTCATGAAGTCACAGCAACAAATCCTTTCTTACTAAATTAAATACATTTAAGTTTTACTGACACTCCTTCTGGACAAAACCATGATTAATGTTGAGTCTATAGAAAGAAAATGAAGTCAAATCAATTGTAATAACCTGTTAGGAATGAAAGATGGACATGATCTGGGATTATCCAGGATCTGATACAGAGACACAATAACATCCTTCAGCCTTTGTCTGCAATCAAGAAGAAGTCGACTGGGAAAAAGTTTTACAATCCCAAACCATAACACAGGGTCCACAGGGATATTAGCTCAGTGAATGATGTTGTTTTAATGTTGAAATAATCAGATCGGCTGAGAGCGTGTGTTGAATGTGATGATAAGAAACATTAGGAAATCTGTTGGAACCACAGCAGTTTGATAAGACTGATTCAAAACATGTTGACGTCTCTGGTTTTATATACATCTGTCATATTTGCTTTTGTTTTGATGCATCAAATGTATGCCACACATTTAGTGTTTTTTAGAATAATAACATTATGTATCATTTTGATTTCACTTCTTAGTGGTTGATTAATAATCTGGAGCAGACCTATAATCTGACAATGTTCAAATCCAGGTAAAAACAGTTCTGTTTAACTCTGCATAAAACTGAAGGATTGTGTCTTTACTCTTTTCAATGTATCTTCATTATTTATGATTTTAATGCTATGTGTGATTTTATTGTTTCTTGTGTTGTTTGATAAGCACTTTGAGTTGCCTTGTGTATGAACTGTGTTTTACAAACAGCTTCCCATACCTTGTTGTGGTCTTTCAGAAACAAATCCAGATAATAATGTTAACATACCTATGACATGTTCCATTAATGAACATTTCTATAAACGCACCAGAATGAGCCAAGAAGCCTATTGTTCCTCTGCAGTCCCTGGACAAAAGTACATAGTCTCCTCAAAGATTTGAAAGTACTTTGCAAATTTAGCTATTTTCAGTCGCAATTAGTAAAAGGTTGTTAAAAAGTTGTTAGAAGTCTCACAGTGACTTAACGTAAAAACCGCCGCATTGACTGCTCTGGGAATTCTAGTGTGAGTCTCATTCTGGTGCATTTCTTGCTTGTCTCATGAAAATGATATGGCATTGTCAGGATTGCTCCACAATCTGTTACAAACACATCAATCTTTCATTTATGAAATTCCAGGGTCTACGTCCAAACAAAAAACTGTTGTTGTGTTGCCTGTTTCCATGGAGATTGTTAAAGTGGATGCCATTTTATCAAACATTCGTGTAAAACAAGAACATCTCCATGGAGAACCATCTTGACCTGTCAACTTCAGACCTGGTCCTTAAGAGCGATGAAGAACTCGAACCACAACAATCAAAGACATAAAAACGTGCGTCTGATAGAGCTGATATATGACAGGGACATTCAAGTCCTTATGGAGTCAGGATCCTGGGAAAAAATGGTTCCCAAGATGAAAGATGGAGACAAACGATCGCTCAACTTGGACAAACAAGAAAAACAGCAGCTTCCAGACTTCTCCTGCTGTGAGCATCAGCAGCAGCGGATCTGTCCATTTATTCTGGACGTGAGCGCTGAATCAACTGTTGTCTGTGTCTTTGCTGATCTTGAGAGCAGCGGAGGACTCAACTGAAAATCACGGGTGAACAATTCCCTTATTAAATGTGACGTTTTTTTAATAACATTTATTAAAGTAATGTTTTATTGATTTATTTATATATTTTAATTAAAGTGAAAAAACTGAATATAACTTGAAGGACGATAGACTGTTGTGTCTAAAACTGGCTCTTCTCTGGTGAAAAACACACAGAACCAGAACCAACTTTTGGTTTAAGCCCCAGTTGAAAATGGCCTGTAACTGCCATATAATGTTGGTTACCAAGCAAGGTAGAACTAATCACTTTTTTTATTTTTATTAAAGATATATTTTTTTAAACTAATGACAGAGAAATAAACTAAATTTGGAAATATCTAAAGAGTAATTTTGAGTAAAATTGACTGCCCTGGGATTCTGGTGTTAAAGACTGATGTAAAAGAAGAGCTTTTAACACTAAACTCTGTGTTTGTGAGAAGCCTGACGTCGCAGCTGAAGCGAAATAACCGACGGGGATCGAAGGAAATTTCAGCCTGAGTTTTCTTTGAAATAATTGGAGCGCAAACAGCAGAAAATATCATCAAATGTGATCTGATCCTGATCTGATCCTGTGTCTGCTTGAACTAAAACCAGCCAAACATTTTTAGGTTGCAAACAATGACAGAAGGGGAGGTATAAATAACTGAACATTCTGACCAAAACACGGTGTTAACAACATGGGCCCGTGGGCCAAATGCAAGACCCCCTAAAATTATTATTTCTTTATTATGATGCATTTTCTGCATTGATGGTCAGAGCCTGGCATGTTGCACCTGTTTTACCTCTGCTAGTTTTCTCAAGACAACATCCAAGTCATTGAATCTATTCAAAAAGTTTAGTCCAAAACATATTTACAAATAGTTCAATGCAAAATGTAATCATTGTCAACAAATACAAGCCTTTGTTTCTTTTGGTTCATGTTTTAGTCAATCCAAAGAGATCAGACAAATCTAAAAAACAATCTTTAAACTTGTGTTTAATAACAATTAAAACAATTAAATCTTTTTGGTCAAAATGATGTAAATAAAGATAATAGAATATTGCCTGTTGCTAAAGATAAACAAGAATATTCAAGAATTTGACACCCCCGGGCTAAAGAGTCTTTCAGATAAATTATGTTTTTATTTTTTTATTTCAAAAAAGGAAAGTCAGGTGTGTGTCCAACCACTGAGGACTTACAAAACATCTGTAATGGTGATGGGGATTTCATGCAGAGATGTGAGAAATTCCAAAAGCTTCAGAAACGTATTCAGGCCACAGTGAATTACACACTATTCTCCAAATGTCTGCGATTTAGCAAACGTAAAAACCAACATGTGTGTATACAACTGTGAAAACACGAGATACGCTGCCGCCACGCTTTCCTTCCCACTGGGGTCCCACATCTGGATCGGAGCACCCTGTCAGACCAAGACAGTCAAATTGAGAGTGCAAAACCCCGAAATACTTTTGAGCCAAACAACATGTGAGCAAGGTGAAGGCTCCTGCCAAGTCACGCAAAGTTAGTCTTTGCAGATAATTTGTAACATGCCGAAAATGTAAACAGGTTTTGGGCTCAAGGCTGTGTATTCCCAAAAGGACGAGCAATGACCAGAGCCAGAGAGAATGAGAGAGAACTGTCATAGTAAGAAAATATGCTTTTAAAGGGGAAAAGACAGAGCGCAGACATGCCAGGCACAATAAAGAACAGCACGCAGAGCTCCCAGGACAGCCCAGTTTGTTTAATAATCTGCTTCTGAAATCAATAGATTTTCAAGACTTTTTGAGTCATTGTTATATTTCAAAATGTGGGATTCCCGAGCATCTGCAGTGTGTTACAGATCACATGGTGAAATTATGAAAAAGTCCATTCCCAGTCCAATGACTCCCAGTAATCCTGTGACCAGAAATGTTTGCAAGTGATTTTACTGAAAGAAAACTCCAGATTAGTCGACAATTCGTAAAGTGGCCATTTTTTTAAAGCTGGGGTACTCAACTTTAAAACCATAGTACATTAATGTTAGTGCCATATAGTGCCAACTGGGACTCTGAGGAGCACAGGGACTGGCCTCCTGCTGGGACTCTGAGGAGCACAGGGACTGACCTCCTGCTGGGACTTTAAGGAGCACAGGGACTGGCCTCCTTCTGGGACTCTGAGGAGCACAGGGACTGGCCTCCTGCTGGGACTTTAAGGAGCACAGGGACTGGCCTCCTTCTGGGACTCTGAGGAGCACAGGGACTGGCCTCCTGCTGGTCCCAGAGTCAGGACTTAACATTGGAACAGTCGTCCTGAAGGTGTGAGACAGGCTTCTACTCTTTTATTGTACTCTGATTATTTATGTGTGTGATTGATTTTATCATGTTTTGTTAAGAACGTTGAGTTGCTTTGTCTTCGAAATGTGCTATACAAATAAACTAGTATGTTTGTTTCCACGCTTCGGCTAACGGATCATGGTATCAATCCTGACTGTGGTATCTACAATGTGTGTTGATTTGTAAAGATGAATATTGTGCAAACAAAGAAACTAAGATAACAATTGAGCTAAAAAAAATAAATGTGTGATAACAAAATGATGCCTCTTTTTTCCCACTGTTTTGTTGTTGTTGTTGAGTGCTTTGAGTGCAGATGCAAGAGGGTCAAAGGACATTGATATTCACGGACATTTCTGGACGTTGGTCATCCCGCTCCCTTTGGACCATGGCTCGTTTGTTAATATTGTATTTCCTGTGTTCAACTGTTTAATTCTCTGCTCTGTTAATTGACAACTTTTTCAAGTCCTCCGTTGTTGACTGTTGTCGTGATTTAGAGTGATACACAAATACATTTAATTGAATTGAATAATTATGTATTTTCAATAGTCTTCAATGGTCTGTTAAAAGTTTTTCTTTAATTTGAAATAAAATGAATGAACAAATATCAAGATAGGGAAGCATAGAATGATTCAAAGAAAAGTGGACAGACCATGGTTTTCTTCTTGCTAATTCTAAAACTCTACTAAAACTCCACATTTTACCCATGCATGTTTCAGCTTTAACATCCAAAACACATCCATTGTCACAGTCCATTCTTTATAATATTTATTTCTTGACATCTACAAATTGTACACAGCAACAACCAGGGCCTCCTGAATGACTAATGTGTCCATAACAAGGATTTAGTGTTCGCTGCATTGTTTTAAAACAGCAGCAGTGAATTAGCGTTAGCGTAGACAGAGATCCACATGTGTCCCATATTATGAGCAAGCAGAGCAGTGAGGGGAGGGGTCTGTCTGCGCATGGGGAGGCGGAGGGGGTCCTGGCAAGAAGCGGGACTTTCGCAGGGGCCTGAAGTTGAACAGGAGGACGGCTGGGGAGTCTCGTGCGATGGAGGAGGTGGTCCCGGGTCACAGGGGGGATCCAGGGGTGGGGGTGAGTGTGTGTGTGTGAGCGGCTGGACTTGATACATTTCAGGGCCATAAAACTTCATTTCCCCAAAGGAAATGTGCGGTTATGCAAGAGGGGAGTTCTGTGTTTGCGTTCCTACTTCAGCACGGAAACCCCAGGCCTCACCTCGCAGACTCAGGCAGACCACAGCTCACACCGCCGCACAGGGGAAGGCAGGTGGTAAATGCAAAAGTTAATCTGATTGTAAAAGTTGGAAAGATTAGATTCAACAGGCTTTCACAGACAAGCTGAGGTTTGGTTTCAATGAGGCTGAGGTCAGTGGGTTCAGCGCAGACCAGTCCAGTTTCTGTTTTCTGGTCCAGCATCAAGACACAGTTTATTCTTATTCTTATTATCCAACTCCACACATTAGTAACTCACTCCTCAGTCACTCTTTAATTCATAAAAAATTACGTATACTGTATAGAACCTTTAAATTGAACAGAAAAATTGTGAATGAGGATTTGTCTCGGCTCTCTTTTTTCTCTCATCCTGTCGAACATTCATTCACGGTTTCTCACATCTTTTTTTAGTCGGTCCTTGCAGATGCATGTGGGTCTAAAGACAGTGATTATTCGGGACATTTAGTGACATTTATTAACATCTATGGACTCCCTATTTACCAAATGTCTTCTATGTGAATAGAACTGTTTGATTGTCTGATCTGTTCTCTGTTAAAATCATATATTTTATACATCTAATTACATTCTAACAGCTTCCACCATTCCCCTTTCAATCCAAGCAGATTTGTATTTTTTCTTCTTTAAAGCTGCTATTAGAGAGGCCCAAACACCTCCACCTGCTCTCCTGAGTCCCTCTGAGGCACAGGTCCCTGAAACAGAGGTCTGTGCCACCTCAACTGGCTCCTCCTGGTTGATATGGAGGAGCAGCAGATCAACGCTGAGCTCCGTTCGTGTGACTGAGCTCGTAAAACCTGCATCTTGAACACTCTGACAGGCATCTGAGAAAAAGATAAAATTTGTCCGAGCGTTTGTAGATCACATCTGTGGCCTGTTTTTCCAATGAGTGAAAAGTCAGGCACTTATTTCACGTCTCTAAAAACATCTCCACACGCTTTGGGCAAAGGCAGAAACCACAACATTTGTCCTCCATTTTGGATGAAGAAGAGGAAAACAACACAAAGCCACTGTGGCTTTGTGTCGTTTTAAGCCTAGCGTACATCGACAGAGAAACTGGGGACAACTAGTTTCAAGGCGGCTTTTGGCAACTGAGAGGAGATGGTGGGAGATGATCAGTTGGCGAAATCGGTCGATGTGCGCGCTCTTACAACTGGAGATGATCAGTCGGTCTCCAGTTCCAGTCAGTTGCCCGTGTTCTACTTTTCGGCAACTAGTTGTCCTCAGTTGCCCCGATGTGTGCGCTCCATGCGCCGCTCCGACAACGTGTGTGTATTGCGTGTATTGCGAGCCCGCAACAGTTTATGTCAGAAAACACACTGTAGTTGAGGCCAGTTGCTGTCGATGTACGCGCTGTTATTCAAGAGACTGGCCTGCGACTCAGAGTTGCCCGTTTTCGCCAGATTGTCGATGTGTGCGGGGCAGCAACTCAGAGGCGACGGATATAATCAGTTGCCAGTCCGATGTACGCTAGGCTTTACTCTTTTTCTCTGGGATATCCAATTGCAGTATTTCTGACCCTCATTGTAATTATGATGTGATTTTTGATATCCTGCATGCTCAAAAGTAAAAAAGAAATACTAAACACTACCTATGAAGCAATTATAGACATCCATCCATCCATTTTCTTCTGCTTCATCCGTCGCGGGGACAGAGTCGCTCAGACTTCCCAATCCACACACACTTCCTCCAGCTGATGGGGGACCCCAAGGCCAATCCCAAGCCAATTATACGCAAGGTAAGATTATATGTATAGCACAGTTCATGCACAAGGCCAAGGGAACTCAAAGTGCTGAACAAAACAAGAAAACAAACGTTATTATGACACAAGACATTCAAATTGTAAACAATCACAGTGCATCAAGACTGGCCCAGATTTAAGCTCTCTCTGAATCGGAAAGGTTGCCTCCCAATATCTGACTCTGGGACCAGTAGGAGGCCAGTCCCTGTGCTTCTCAGAGTCCGAGATGGTTCATATGGCACTAACATGTCACAGATGTATTTTGAGAGGGAAACTTCGGAGGTCCATGTCTCTGTATGAGATCACAATCTGAACCGACAAGAAACAAATGAATGTGTAGTGTGCAAAGTGACATTTAGATCTGAATCGTGTGATTTCATAAAAGATGACTGGGAACTATTACCACAATTAAACTAAATCACTACAGTATGTGCTGATAATTGCCATAAGGTGTGAAGGCATCATTTTGACCATATACGAGTCACTGCATCACACGCAACGTCCTCAAACACAACACGAGGTGTTGTGTAAGACTCCTGATTCAACTTATTCAAAAAACTGTACAAATCTCTCTTTGATAATAACCCAATTACATCGTAACTTTAGGAAATGTTTTTTTCTTTTGTTTTTTCATTTTAGTTTCAAAAGCTTTTTCATTTTTTATTATGCCTTCTCTACCCTTACCTCTCTTTCTGACTGTTGCTCTGGGCCAAAGCATTTTCCAAGTCTGTAACTTCATGTTACTTACGTGGCGATTCTGATTCTGAAAAGCTCTGTGGAAATTGGTGTAAAAAGTAAGATCGTTCCACAGTTTTAGTCTTTTTCAATTTGATTTAATCACATAATATTGATACAATAGAACATGTCTAGTCCTTATAACTATTCAAGACACCAAAAGAGAGGCAAGTTTATTTGTACAGCACAGTTCACACACAAAGTAACTCACAGTGCTTAAAGGTATATAGTAGGACTTTCTACTACCGGGTGGACCATATAAAGACTATTGGTCCTCCCAACTGTCAATAATTCTGGTGATACGGGATCGACAAAAAAGACCAGAGAGTTTTGTTCAAAAAGTGGAGAGTGCGGTTCTGTTCTGATACCTGCAGAGCTCCACACCTAATCTACATTCCAGCGAGCACCAGATGCAGCATATAAACCAACCTCACCTTGTCTCCAGTGCCAGATCGTTCCGGCACACGAGCAGTGAAATTTACCTTCGGCTTGTCCTGTACTTCATAGTGTTGAAGTTTATTTTGTACTGATGCGCTTTTCTTCATTTTTTTCAGTACCCAGCTGTGGAGCCTGCACCATCATCTTCAGTCCCGTCCTGGTCGCATCATTGGTCAATCTATTACCTCCTCTCAGTCGTCCTCTGCCCTGGTTCCGTCCTCTGCCCTGTGCCCGTCCTGGTCCCGTCTTGGTCCTGCCCTAGTCCTGCCCTGGTCCCGTCCTGTGTCCATTAAACCGGGCTACTCCTGATTTTGATTTTTGTTAATAAACCTTTTGTCTATTCTGCATTTTTGGGTCTGCCAGTTCTTAAACCTAACAGGTTCTGTCATCAAATTTGGGAAAATCCTTATATACCTTTTAACAAAACAATAAAATAATCACAGTACATAAAAAAGTGACGACACAATCCTTCAGTATACACTTTTTATTGGTTCCTTGCCGATGCAGAATGGTCTAGGACAGTACCGATCCGGGACATTAAAGGACATATATTCACATGCTATAAATTCCTTAAACCCCACTTTAAAAGCAGTTCTTTCTCTTCACTCTGGCCTGTTTTATTGTGAGCATCGCCCGGGAAACCTCTGATGGATGTGACTAATATGAATTGTCTACATCTCGATTCCAGAACCAGGGTTTGGCAGTTTTCTGATTGTTTTGGGTCAGATATCACAGGCAGAGGACGGTCTGATTCGATACACATCTGTTTGCCGTGAGAGGCTGCATGCAATCCCCAGCTCCATAAAAACGGTGACAGCTCAGGTATCTTTCGCTGTGTTTCATCAGAACTCTCCGCGGCCATGGAACTGACAAATGCATATTAATGTTGGACAGTTCGCCTTGGCCTTCCCAGGGGGTTGGGGCTAAAGTTGATGTTGATGGATTGATTCTAGTTAAACAAGAAGGAATGGTGGAGTTGGGTGCAAGATTGAAACCATTTCCTCATCCAAAGAATGCATACAGGCATCTCACTGTATCTTCTTTTTTGTCAGCCAATTCATCAAATATAATCAGAATCAGGATCAGAATTATTTTATTGCCATTATGTAACAGGAAGCCACAAACTGGTGCATTGATCCCCCTGCACTAGAGCAACCTGTCAGACTCAGCAACAGTAGCTGCTGTAGCATAACTCAGGGACCCATCTCCAGATGTCGTAGCTCGGCTAGTAGGAACAACCGGAGCACCTGGAGGAAATCCCCCCCATACACACATCTCATATTTCGTAGTTTCAATGTACCGGTATGATTCTGTATTTATGTGTGGGAGGTCAGTGTATGTGCGAGGACTTTATGCTATTGTACATTATTATTACATATTGTTGTATTTTTTTCTAGTAATCAAGGAAAACTGATGGAAACTAGCTGTCTCGCTATAATCTGGTGCAGAACAGATCTGCTGTGCACTGTCCCACTAAACTAACTAACATTCTAAATCCTCTCAAAAAGACCTGAGAATTAAACCTGTACACACTTTGCAGTGAGGCAGGAGCGCTGCCCACTGAGCCGCAGTGCTGTACCAAATGTACCAAAAGTCTTCATTCAGATCATTGTGATTGTCTGCATTACCCAGAAGTCAATGTGACAGATTCTAGTTTTGGAAGTGTAATCATGACTCAGCTCATGTTGTTTGTCTTCATAACTTTGTTTCATTAAATGTGTGTAGTTGCACTACACACATTGTACAAGCTTATGGTTCTGAGCTGACTCGGATTTCCACCAGAGAAGAGAGAGTCCTATTTGCCATTGCAACTACTGTGAGCATTCGGCATTTCAACAACTGACTTCAGAATCAGAATCAGAATCAGGGCATGGCAACCAATTTATTGCCATTTGCAGAAAATAACTACATTGGAATACAAACAGGAGACACCGGGGGCACCAACACCACAAAGCACAACCACACAAAAATAATAAAAAATTGCAAGACACAGTAAGTAAGTAAGTAATCTTTATTTATATACCGCCTTTCACAGACCAGAGTCACAAAGCGGTTTACAATTGTTATTTTTGGGCACTTGTCCTCTCACTCCACACTGCGATGTAAACACACAGTGAGGCAAATATAAAACTCTTAAAAGCATGATGAAAAGCTACGAAGATAGAACTACAAAGAGAAGTAGATCTCAGGGCGCTCTGTTCAGTCTTATAACCGCCTGAGGGAAGAAGCTATTCGCGTGACGGGAGGTCCTGCACCGCAGGGACCGGAATCTTCTCCCCGAGGGAAGAGGCTGGAACAAGGCCGCTCCAGGATGGCTAGAGGAATCATTTCCAATCCTCAGGGCACGGTTCAAGAGTCTGCTCTCATACAGAGCCTCCAGAACGGGCATTGACTAACTTTGTGCTGTATTTCAAGTTATTTTAAGTTTCATGTTGTAGCACTTATTAAAAGGTAAACATGATAATAATAATAATAATAATAATAATAATAATAATAATAATAATAATAATAATAATAATACATTTCTTACTTTTTATAAATCTGGTGAAACACTTTTTGGGGTAATTTCTCTGAATTCCGTACGTTTGAATGGGAGCAGTCAAACTGATGTCTCTGGGAGTCCCAGTAGTTTCATAATTCTGGGAGTCTTATTAAGTTATTTTCATCCCCAAATGTTTTGCCAAAACTACAACCTTAAAAAATACATAACATTCACTTTTTTATTGTGTCTGTTTCCTTTCTTTTTTTTAGTTCATTTTTAGCTTATCATAGACACAGTCTGAGTGAAAATTGCATTATTTCTTTTAGTTATGCATAACATTTTCAACGCCCATTAAATGAGAAGACAAGGAATTTTATATCACATTTTCATTATAAATCTTACCCATAGACTGTATATTTTTTTCTTACCCCAAAGTAGAGTTTACGAGGGAAACGTAGGATGTCGCTGTTTCGTCCTGTTACTTCCGCGTTTGCAGGAAGTAGTCTGCACACGTGGGGCAGAGTCGTGTTTACATTTCATTCAGTCATCGTGGAGGATTTTTCTGAACACTGTACAAGCTTATATCTAGTTCTGGTATTGGACATGAGGATTATGTGCTCAAAACCTGTCTGAAACTAAGACAAAACTGGAAACTGTGTCGTTGATGCAAAGCTAACCTGCAGCTAATGTGAGTTATTCAGTCATATTTGGTTGTTTATCTTATATTAGCGTATCCCATGTCAGTATCTCTTTATCACTTTGATGTTTTTTGGTCTTGGAATGGGTGGATTGATATTTTTGAAAGAATACTAAGTTATCAATCAATCTATTGACCTTTATGTGTACAGCGCTTATCCTACACAAGGTAACACAAGTGCTTCACAACAATAATAATTGTAATAATATTATACAATTTAATATTTAAAAAAACACAAAAGTAGGATCTATCATACAGGACATTAATAACAAACATTGAGATCACATGGAATAATAAAAAACGTAAACAAATTAAAATCACACATGGGAGTAAAATCATAAATAACCACAGTACATTAAAAATAGTTTAGATAAAATCATCCAATTGTGTGCATAGGCAAACAGAACTGTCTTCAACCTGGATTTTAAAAGTGCCAGAGTAGATGCCTGTCTCACATTATCAGGAAGACTTTTCCATATTTTAGATGCATACATCTGAAACGCTGCCTCCCCATGTCTAGTCCTGACTCTGGCACCACCAGGAGGTTTGTTCCTGTGCTCCGAGCCGGTTCATATGGCACCAACATGTCACAGAGAGATATATGAACAATGAAAACTAACTAATTTAATTTTATTAAGATGAGATTAATGTGAAAGCCAGATCCTGTCAAACTACTGAAGCTAAGCAGGACAGGGTCTGGTTATTACTGTGATGATAATCACCAAATCACCAAACTACTGTTGTGTTCACAGGCTAGACTCTTCACCCACATTGCCTAGAATGAGTCTGGTGTGTGTGAATAGTTGGTGGTGGTCTGAGGGATCGATGTGGCACATTTTGGTTCCCAGTTTCCTTGGTCATGTTGTGAAGAGCCTTTGAGTGTTCTAAAAGCACTGCATAAAACCGATCCATTATTATGATGTTATTAATAGTGTAATGTAATGTAAAGTAATCAAATAATATGGCACTTGTTAAGTCTTTATTCTGAAACTATAGTCTTTCTTGCATTTCTTAAGAGTAGTTCAGTGCTCACAGCTTTGTCCATAATGTCTTCTCAATCATATGTACTAATAACTGCCTCTTTTCTTTTGCCATTCTTTTTCAGCCGTGAGTGTCTGCTTTGCTTAACACCGAATATTGGCTTGTCAACATTATTTTTTGAAAAGGGGATGATCATGAGTGAGCTGGATGAAGATCAGAGTTTCCATCCCAGTTGCCTTGACAAAACAACACACAATACTAATGTGTCAGACGTCGGTGAATTGGCCAAACGACCTCTTCAGGACTTAAAGTTGGCGTCGCATCAGGTTCTGGAGCAAGCGCAGGAGAAGGGCAGGTTGAAATGTGACAAATGTGGAGGATCCAGGATGTTTTTCTGCTACACCTGCTGCTGCCTGGTCGGGGTCAGTCCTCAGAATGTCCCCCTGCTCAAGGTGGGTGAGTGAGTGAGTGAGTGAGTGAGTTAGGAGTGAGGAGCAGGTGAGTGAGTGAGGAGCAGGTGAGTGAGTGAGGAGCAGGTGAGTGAGTGAGGAGCAGGTGAGTGAGTGAGGAGCAGGTGAGTGAGTGAGGAGCAGGTGAGTGAGTGAGGAGCAGGTGAGTGAGTGAGGAGCAGGTGAGTGAGTGAGGAGCAGGTGAGTGAGTGAGGAGCAGGTGAGTGAGTGAGGAGCAGGTGAGTGAGGAGCAGGTACGGAGTGAGGAGCAGGTACGGAGTGAGGAGCAGGTGAGGAGTGAGGAGCAGGTGAGGAGTGAGTGAGGAGCAGGTGAGTGAGTGAGTGAGGAGCAGGTGAGTGAGTGTGGGGTGAGTGAGGAAAAATGAAATAAAGGATTGATTTAGGGAAGGGACAATTTATTTACTAATTGCTTAAACTTGTGAATATAACTTGAAACACAGCTAAAACAGTTTGTTGAAAGGCTAAATGCTAACTGCTGCAAGTAAACAGTGTGTTGCTATGGTAACCAGCAGCCACTCTTCTGTGGAAAACCAAGCTGCCCAGGACCAGTACTGAGAAACTACCATAGAATGTTGGTTGCCAAGTAATGTATACTACAGTGAATTTAGTTAAACTCTAACTGCTAATTTACACATCACGCGTTACAGCACGTACGCGTTATACGCGCAGCAGACGCGCGTAACTTTTTTCCATGTTAACCTACGATGATATTTACACTTCTAGCGTTATACGCGCGTATGACGGACATGTGACGCGATGCTGCGCTCTAATTTAGGATGGATTTCTAATTTTCTGCGCGCACCAACGCGTCTCCCATTGAAATCTCATGTAAAACATGATTTTTCTAGCGGCCCTTGGCTCTAGATCGCATCTGCACACACACAGCACTTGTGTCTAAACATCAGCAGGAGGAGCAGCAGGTTTTACAGTGATTCTGGACATCGTTTTTTTTCTTTCATAAAGTCTCACGTCTGGCCAAACCAGCGCACAGAGACCATGAGGACAAACACATGCATGTGATTTGTGTTGCTCTACATCAGTCCTCTGGCCCGTACTGTCCTCTACACTGCTCCATAGACTACACATGGACAGCATCAGAAGACGCGGACCTGCGCGCACGGCCTGTGTAGATACTCCAAAAAAAATGTACACGCAGAGAGCGCGCAGAAAACGCGTACGCGCTGTTTACGCCTACTGTGTAAATTCCCCGTAAGAGTTAAGTGTAGGATTCCTCTCATTTGAAAAACACAAGATTATTTCATAAAAGTAATTACAGAGAAATAAACGACTTATAGAAATAGAAAAAGTCAGAAATGCCAAAAATGTATGTACTGAGTCATTATTCTTCCAACTGTAAGCCATCATCTTCACTGCTCTTGGAGTTCTAGTGTTATCTCTGTTGTAGAGATTAAACAGAAAAGGTGATACAAAAGAGCTGATTATTATTACTTAAACTGAAATGGTTAGACTGTACTGCTGGAACCACACTATATTACTACATTAAACAGAATCAGAATACAGAAGAACCTGTCTGATCAGGCCGAGCCTGGCCTTATTATTATAAATTATTATTTCCCTACATATACGTCTGATCCTCCCAAATTCAACCCTTAGTATGAAATGAAATGCGTGCGATGGTATGTTAAGACTAGATCAGGGCATACACACAGACATAATGTTCTTTTCTCAGTAATACTGATGCAGTGTTTGTTCTTTAATTCAATACTCTATAATAATAATATATTATTGTGTCTTGTGTTTTAGCTTCCAGTGAAAATCGACATCATCAAACATCCAAATGAGACGGATGGTAAGAGCACCGCGATCCACGCCAAGATCCTGGCTCCTGATGATGTCACCATTTACACCTACCCCTGTATCCCAGAGTACGACCAGGACCAGGTGAGTTCAGACCATTATTACACTCTGAGGAAGTGAACTAGGACCAGGTGAGTTCAGACAAGGGCTGCACATTATTGGAAATCAGAGCAATATTCTCAATGCGTGTTTAGTATTCCGATAACAATATTACTGCGATATTTTTGTCTTTCACCTAAAAATGCAATCTGCATTGAACCCCAAGAGGAAATTGTTTTAACAAAAGTTAAGCACAACATTAATGACATTCAAATGCAGTATGGCACACATATTAACCTCAATTCTTGCCCTAAGTTGCCAAATCCATAAACACAGTATTAACGCAGAGTGTGCACGTTGCAAGACATGACCCCCATTAGTCAAACAATTGTTGTTTTTGGTAATTTTCAATACAAAAAACCTGGTTCCTATAAATCCAAACTCGCTGTTCCCTGGTGTTCCCGCGTCTAAAGCCTCATCCCTCTGCAGGTGGTCCTGGTGTTCCCGGGTCCAAAGGCGGTCGCCGTGCACAACATGATCCAGAGTTTAAGGGAGCGTGCACAGGACCCCAGCGCTGAACCCAGGAGGAAGAGGCTCCGAGCCGCAAGCCTGTCTGACTGTCCCACACATGGAGAGGGCGACCGGGGGGCAGGGCAGACCAAGGCCCTACCCCTGAGAAAGGTGGTCTTCATCGACAGCACATGGAACCAGACAAACAAGATCAGCACCGACGAGAGGCTGCAAGGTTCATGTCAAATATGTGCAATTATGTTCAAGGACAGAAGGGCAAACCGGAGCATACGCTCTTCCTTATGCTTAAACATGGAGCTTTTGTGGCTCCAGGGTTAGTCAAGTTAAAGTAGTTAAAGGCAGGTTTATTTGTATGCCACAGTTCATAAACAAGACAACTCAAAGTGCTGAACAAAACAAGATAGAAACAGTCGTAGAAGGCACTAACCCTCTAGGCACCAGTCGACTGAAG